CGCGCGCGAGGGAGGAAGAGGAGGCGGCGGGGGCAGGGCCCAGGGCAACAGGCTAAGCAGTGGTGTGCACTCCGCTCCCTCCTTGCCCCAGGCGCCACCCGCCTGAGTCCGGGGCCATTCCGAGTCGCCCAGGTAAGGAGCCTGCGCCTCTTGCAGCCGCACCGAGCTTTCTAGGTCTTTCTATGCGGGGGGCCCCCTCCGGTCTCTGGCTAGCCTTCCTTGCAAAGTCAGGCAGGCAATCGATCGCAGGGAAAACTTTCCAGCGGGAGGCACCGCGCGGGGGAGAGGAAGGCCTCGTGGCTGGCTGGCGTTGTCAGTCCACTGCTCCAGGTCTGGAGAGAGTGAGTCTTGGAACCCTGAGGCTGTTGCACGTTCAAACTTCGGGGCCTAAACAAGCTTGCAACTCTCCAAGGATTCACTCCATTAAGAAAAGGAACATCCCAAGCGGTCCACTCTCTCTCGTGGGGCATTGGGGTGTTTAAAGCGAAGGAAGAAAGTGCAGGAGTGGAGAGAGCGGGGGTGCAGTGCAGAATCATTCCTCATTCAGTGTCTGCACCGGGTGTTATGTAATTTTAGTAGCACATGGGTGCGAAGCCCACATTGGGCTTCTCCCTCCTTTGTTTATATAACTTTTGGGGAGTTTTGCCAGGCTGTGTCCTTCCCCCCCCCCTCCTCCCCAGTGCAATGGAGGGAGGCTGGTGCTTTTGAAAAAACAGAGTGACCCGAGTTAGCAATGTTTTGGAGAGGTGTCATCATTGTGTCCTTTCTAGTCATCGTGTTGGCACGTATTCCTTTGTATTCATAACAATGGAGCATAAGGAAGATGTTAAGGACCCACGTTTGTTTATTGCTCGGCGTGGTAATGTTTAAGGTTTCAGTTAATTTTCAAACTTTTGGGGGGTTGTATATCTTGCTTGTGGGAACACCTACGTTGGTTTGAGAGGTGGTTGGGTTTGGTAGCACAAAAGTTCTATCCAAACTACCCTGGACTCAGGAAACAGTGAGAACTCCTCTAATTAACATAAAAGCCACGTTTAATGCTATGTATGCAAACACTTAAAAAAGCACGTTCCAGTGTTTTCGGATTCATTTCCCTCCAGTTTTGAGGCCCTACTTTTAGTTGCTACCCACTAGGGACTTGTCAGGACTACTTCTAAGCACAGCTGGTGAAGGGTTAGGGGGTGTGGCTGGGTTGATGCTTAGGTGGCATTATTATGCAAATAGAGACACACTTTGTCTTTTCAGAATCTAATTGCCCTTTTATTCCTCTAGGCTTGCTGACTTGCTTTTAAAATGCTGCCTTTGGATAGTAGAGGAGGGGGACCCAAAAGTGTGTGGGTGGGGTGGGGGTGGGGCAGCTTGGGACCAAGGACAAGAGAGGGTAATTGGGATAAAGTACAACTATAAACTTGTATGAAAATGCCATAATGAAACCCATTATTTTGTACAGTTAATATACATTAAGAAAACTTTTAAGGAAAAAAAACACTTCAGAATATAAAAAACAAAAGGGCTACAAAATGCTCCCTTTTGCCTTAAATGTTTACTATTGAAAAAAAAAAAAAAACAAAGGAGATTTAGAGACACCCTTATGTTTATAAGGTGATTATTAAAGTAGGTTGAGGGGGTAAATTATCCACAGGTGGAGGTCCATCTAGTTTGTGTTTGGCCTTGGAAAAGTGTGGCCATAATGGTAAAGAATGTTTTTAAATGAGTTAGGATTGGGGGTGTCAGAACCTTTGGCAGGGAAGGACGGCAGGGAGGGGCCTCATGCAACCTCTCTCAGGACTTATTTGTATCACTCAGAGCCTAACTTTGGCTCTGGCTGCACTGTGGTGTCTCACAGAAAACATTTACCACACAGCCTGTTCAAAGCTATCTTAGATCTTTCCTTTTGTTCTTTTGTAGAGTGGTTTGTTTGAGCATTTCTCATCAGGTTTCTTGAAAAGTACTCTGGCCAACACCTGAGGCTTAGAATTGACCGCAATAAAAGTGTGCTTCTTGTCTGGTTAGTGCTTGAATTCTTCCTTGTAAGTATTCTTGACACAGTATACCTAGATAGAAAGTAACCCCTTTGCCGGTAATTATTTAAAGCTCTGTTTCTTTGATTAGGTTTAAAATAAACCATTCTGCAGGCAGGTGTGTTGGGGGTAAAAGCACAACTTTCTCTTCTAGAAGGCAGCTGTGATACTCTGACATACTCTTAATATTTTGACGTCTCTTTGTAAGGGCTCATTGTGTTTTGGAGGAGGACCGTAAACAGAGAAGTTTCATAAATTATGAAAGTGGCGCTGTCCTGCAGCATTTCCAGTTTTCTCCCTCCCTTAGAAGTCTTCCTTTGTAAACAAGGCCTTTGTCAAACCCTCCTAGGTCAGCAGCTTTTTGCTACTCTAGAGAAATAATAAATCACTATTTATGACATTTTGACATGCTGCCACGAGGACGCCTGACTTATCTCAGGCACCATGCTCAGGACCATTTCCCTGTCTCAGCATTGTGAAGGCATGCCAGCAAGCCTGAACTACCAGAAGTTTTGATTCACACTGTTTCTGCTTTAGATGCTGTAGGGTGTGGATAGTTGTCCCTTTGCATGAATAGCCTCAGAAAACTGTGGGACACAGTTCCCTCCTGTGTTATTTCTAATGAACAAATGAGAAAATGCCCTTGGTGAAAAGCCATATTTGGAGGTTACTTTTGATTTTTTTTTCCTGTCATCTATGAGAAAAAGAATTTTGTGTGTGTGGAACTTTTAATATCTAGCCAGTTAATAAGATGATGATGAGTCACTATATAGTAGTTGGGTATAGAAAATACAGATGCTGGTAATTTATTTGGTATAGTGTTTAGGAAGTTATAGGTGTTGTTTGTTTGTTTATTTCTCTATACAAAAAATTGTCTAACACTATGCCCTGCCAGAGTTTATGGAAGAGCATATTTATTTGCCTTTTCAAATACTTATTATGAAAGGGCATATTTATCACCAAGTTAAATGGGATCTTGCAACCAGGTTTTGA